AAATAAAAAGAAAAGAAAAGAAAGCTATCTATAGGAATTATTACATGAACCTCTAGAGTTTACATAGTACTGTAAATGATTCATATCTATAAACTCCTGAGGCCCTTCCAGTTCATCTTAAGTCTCCTTAAACCAGTCATGTTAGGACATATTAAGACAAATTCTAATTATAATCACTCAAATGGACCAGAACTATAATCATTCTCTATTCGAAAAAGCTTTTTCAGACTGTCTAATTTTGTACCTTTTAATCTTGGAAGTCTAATGAAAACGCCTCCTCGTTATTAAGCGCATTCATTCCTGTTAAAATATTCCTTTCTCTCCTGTTTTATTTTGTCTCAATTTATAAACTTATTTGATGGTAAAGCTTTATCTTGCTTTATTATTAATATATTTACTCTCTTTGCTCTATGCTTTTTATATGTATTCTTTACATTCTACTAGTAAGAATATGATATTGATATTTTCAAACTTATTTAATAAAGATTCTTCTTTTCTTTTCATCAATACTGGAGTTTGAACTCAGAGTCTTGCATTTGCTAGGGAGGAGCTCTACCACTTGAGCCCTTTTCAACTTGGTTAGTTTTGAAATAGGGTCCCACATTTTTGCCTGGGTCTGCCTGGACTACAATATTACCATTTATATTTCTCACATAGCTAGGATAACAGGTACACCCTACCATGCCCAGCTCCTTATTGGTTGAGATGGGGGTCTCTTGAGCTTTTTGCCTGGCTGCCCTTAAACTGCAATCCTCCCAATCTCTGCCTCACAAGTAGCTTACATCAGGCTTAAGTCACTACACCTTGTTGATAAAGACTCTTATACATGAAGAAGCACAAGCATGTGGGTTATTTTCTCCTATATGAAGAAACAGTCGAGGTACAGGGGTCAATTTGATTTCAAAGCCAAATTTATCAATGAGTTAATCCACTAAGTTCCACTGAGTTGGGTATTAGGAGTTGGGGCCTGGTTGGAAGATGTAGGTCATTGGGGATATGCCTTTGCAGGGTACATCTTGTCCCTGGTCCCATTCTGTCACTCTCTCTGTTTCCTGACTGCCACAAGGTGAGCAGCTTTCCTCCCCATTCCCTTTTGCCATTATATTTCTGCCTTGCCACAGGCCTAAAAGCAATGGAGTCAGTAATGTACTAAAACCATGAACCAAAACAAATCTTTCCTCTTCTAAGATGATTTTCTCAGCTACTGTGTCATAGTGACAAAAAAGCTAGTTAAGCCAGAGTATAAAAGCACCTATTTTATTAAGTCATTAAATGAGATAATACATTTCAATTTCTTAATAAAATTCCTAATACTGAAAAAAATACATTTAAAAAATATTTTTAAAAATATATATTTAAAAAAGATGCTTATCATTTTTATATCCACTGTGAGTAAATCACTTTGCTCCCATATCCCACATAGACTACTTCATATCATTTGTCTATTTGAAACTCATCCCTAGCTTCCTACTGTCTTAAGAATTATTGAAACTCCATAATATAATGTTCTCCTACAATCACCTCTCATCATTACTTCTCTTCCACTCTAAACCCCAAATGACTTCAGTCCTTCAAATATGCCATATCCCCTTCCTTGCCTCCAAGTTTTTCCATATGATGTTCATTTTGCATAGAACATTTCTCCACCTCCCTCACTTCTTGCAGTGTATAAACATCACCCTCTTATTAGAGTCTTTCTCTGACTCAATCTGGAGTACTCTATAATCACCAGTTTAATTTTCATGAAGACACTGTGCAACTAGATGTGATAAGACTGAACATGAAAGTCAATATGCTGAAACTGACCTATGGGAGGTATAAGAAAGTCCTGGGACTAATTAGCAGTAAGTATACTCATGATTTAAGCCAGACATATGACAAATCTTGGGCCAAATCCAGTCAGCTGTTCATTTTTGTAAGTAAAGTTTTATTGAAATATAGCCAGTTAGTTTAATATGGCTCATGATTGCAAAGTTCAGTAGTAGTTGCAACATCAGGCCATATGGTCCAGGAAGTCTAATTTATTTACTATCTACTTCTTTACAAAAAGGTTTGCTGACCCCAGGGTTGAAGCTATTGATAGTGAGGTTTTATTATTTATGGTCAAATGCATCCTAATTGAGACAATGTTTTCATGGATCCTTTTGCTTTCCCTACTACAAACATTTGTCTGACTTCAAAGTTACTTGCATATCTTCCTTGCTATACATGTTGGTTTTTCCATTTGCATGAATGGTCCAAGTACTACAAGCACCAACATTAGGCTCCTAATATTTAACATCAAACCTACAACCAGAAGGCATTTCAACAGTGGTGCCTAGAAAAGTGACTAATGAATTTGATGACTAATCAATACAGAGCTACTAACACATACATTAGACGCTCTAAGTGATATGAGAGGATAAATCTTAAGTGGCTTGAAAATCAGGTTTAGGAACTAAACATATAAGCTTAAAAAGTAATAAGTTATTTCTAGAACTGAGCAGAATGCATCTGTACATACATAAATAAACACTACCATGGTACATGCATACTCTGATTTTAAAAATTCTGATTTTTAGATCAGTCAAAAGGTTAAAAAAATTGCAAATACTAGCTGAGTAACAAGATAAAAGAATACCCTGACACAACACTACCCCTTATGATGGTCAACTAAAACCATGAAGATGACCATAGTTTTCTGGAGCCAGACCTCAGTGTCTTTAACACATATTTCTTATTTTGACTTTAGTCATTACCTTTGTCAAGATTAATGTTAAGAAACAATGACAAATACATCCTTACCATGTCAGCCTGGCATCCAGAAGCAGTCTACCTGAAGAAAATCAACTCTGAGAGATAAAAGCTGGCCTAGACATTCCAAATTACTGTTGCCATGTAAGAAATTTTTCTGAAACTACCCAACCTCCTTCTCTTAGTCACTGTCTCAATTTCCTACCCTGTAAGTCCCCCAAATGATGTTTTATATAATATCAATTTCATGGAATTAGATAAATATTATTCTAAATCAGAACAACATAGTGACAAGGAAAGAAAAAATAATTAGTAAAAATCCTGGTCATACTCCCCATAAAAAACCAAAAAGCAAGGCAGTCTCTCGATTGACATATCTTAATCATCCTATTAATCAATATTTTCCAGTCTCAGAAACTTACCCTGCATCCTCACTTTGAATCTATCATCCTACTGACTTTCTTCTTTTACCAAAAGACCTCTCCCATACCCTTCCTGGCTGTCATCACATCTGGCTAACTCAGCCCTCTATACTCATGGCTACATATCCAGCCCCTACCTCCTCTCCTGTAACATTAAACAATTTTAAAAACTAGAATAGGACAGAAGGCAGAATTTGGTAAGAATATAATTGCTCAATGAACATTAATGATGTGGGGTTATTGAGAAACAAGTCACAAAATAATATTATCCTCTTTCAAACCTCACCAAAAGTTGAACATTCCCAAGAATATTTAAGGGTCAGCAATCGAGACAGATTTATATAACATCACTGCAAATGTGGAAATAAGATAAGCACAAGACAACTATGAAACAGAAAGGGATGAGGCATGATTTTCATATCTTTAATAAACTTAGTAATTCTTCACAGAATCAAGACCTCAGAAAACCAGACCTAAGATACCAGTAAGCTCTTTAACAATGAAAACTGATACATTAAAGGTAAGTACATTTATATCAGAACAGTAAACATATTCACACAGGATGTTGAAAAACTGACAAAGGGGATAAATCCCAAACTATTCTACTTCATAGCATAAAAAGACCACAATGCCAATCTTGAATAAAACACATAAGAAGCTACATTTTAAGCTGATAAACAAGATTAGTTTCATTTTAACCTTCAAATGTGAGAAACAGTGATAAGTGGATTTCAATCTCCAAACAGACAGAATAAGAACCACTGTTTTAGTATTGATATACTCACTGTAACGCACTACACACCATAGCAACGCTCCACTCCCCATTCTACACTAAGAGAGGCCTAGCCAACAGTAAATAACCAGTTCCCTCCTGATTAATCTTTGTTCTTTTCCCCTAACAGTTTCCAATAACCTATCAGATATTTTTATTTACTGTGTAGTCTTCAAATTTTAAATTCATATTCATAATAAAGAAATAGAATATAGATGGGCCAGGTGTGGTGGCTCACTCCTGTAATGCCAGATACTTGACAGGATCATGGTTTGAGCCCAGTCTGGCAGGGAGGGGGAAAGTTAACATGATACCATCTCAACCAAAAACCTGGGTGTGGTGGCTTGCACCTGTAATCCCAGCTAGGTTGGAGACATAGGTAGAGGGTCAAGGTCCAAGGCTGGCACCAGGCAAAAGCGTGAAAAATAACTAAAGCAAAAATGCTGGAGGTATGGCTTGAGTGCTACCACTTGTGAGGCTCTGAATTTAAGACTCAGTACCAACAAAGATAAAATATAGAGAAAAAAAAAAAAACAACACAGAAGTTTCCTAAAGAATTATGTACATTTTTATATATGTATCAAACATTGACACTGTTATTTATATTGTGATTCTGAACTTTGCTATATTATTAAATGAAAATATAAATAGAAGTATGCCACAAAAAAAATGAGGTAACTATTTTACTTATCCTTTCTTCTTTCTGTATTATTCTCCTCTTTTATTTACCTTCTTCCACTCTTACAGCAGTTTAGCCACAAGGTTGGAAAAACAACAAGCCTTAGAGAAAGAAAATACAGTCTGAGCTGAGTGCCAGTGGTTGACATCTACAATCCCAGCTACGGAGTGACTGAGGTTTGAAGGATCATGGTTTTAGGCCAGCCCAGGCAAAACATTCACGAGATGCCATCTCAACCAACTGTTGGGCATGGAGGCAGGAGCTTATCATCCCAGCTATACTGCGAAGAATTAAATAGGAGGATCGTGGTCCAGACTGGCCTGAACAAAAAGCAACACACTATTTCCAAAATAACTAGAGAAAAAAGAGCTGGAGGCATGGCTGAAGTGGTGGATTACCTGCCTAGCAAGCACAAAGCCTTGAATTCAAACCCCAGTACCATCTGGGGTGTATCTATACCCCAGATGTATCTATATATCTATCTATCTACATAGATAGCTATAGTTTGAATATTGCCATGGAATCAGTCATCACTGCATAAGATCTGCTTCAACTTACCCACGCTTGATGTTGTGCAATTCTTTGTCCTTGACTTTGTCCTTCTCCTTTTCTCTTTTCTCTTTATCTCTGCCTTTACGCCGCTCTCTGTCCCGAGATCGACTTCGGGTTCTTCTGTGACTGGACCTTTCACTGCTTCGACTAAGGGAACGTGGACGAGGTCTTGACCTGGACCTACAGTAAGCATATTTTATTAAATACATTTAGTGTATATTTTGTATTTTAAAAAGAAAATGTCCTTTAAAAATTATTTGGAAGAAATATTTAGTTTAGACTTAAAAGTATAGTACAACTATGCTTGCAATGAAAATAAAGCTAAATAATTTCAGAAAAAAAATAGAGAACAAAAAACAGAAATTCTGTAACTGAAAGTTATACTCTATAAAATAATGCTAATGGGATTAAAAGCAGATTAGTGATAACATATGAAAGAATCTATAACAGAAAATCCATCAATCAAATCAAATCAAAGTGATAGAGTGGCTCAAGGTGTAGGTCCTAAGTTCAAACCTGTAGTACTTAAAAAAAAAAAAATTGAATCTGCACATTCAGTTTAAAAACACTTTCCTAAGAGAAAAAAAGATTGTTGATAAGAAAAGGACCCCCTACTGTATGAAAAAATTCAAGTGTCTAGCATGTTTATTTACTCCCTGAAGTAGAGAAGTGGTGGTTGAACAGTCTACAAATTTAGTGAAAGGTAAGCATATAGATTCTAGATGTTCAGTGAACTACAAATAACATACATTATGAAGAAGACCATAAACAGGAATGCCACTGTCAAGCAAATAAAAACTAAAGGTTGGAGAGAAAGCAGGAAAATATCAGAGAAAACAACACATTATATACAGAGGAACAATGATATGAATCAAAAATAATTAGATGAGAAGACGGTAGAACAAAATTCTTAACAGGGTAAAGAAAACAAAAGCTAACCCAGAATTCTGTATCCAGCAAAAAGATCTCTCAAGAATGGAAGTAACGGTTGTAGCCCAGTGGTACAGTACTTGCCTAGCAAGTAAAAGGCCCTGGTTCACTCTATCTCCAGAAATTAAAAAGAAAAAGAAACACATTTAAATAAAGCAAGGACAATTTTTAAGTAAAAGTTAAAAAGCAATCATCAATAGAAGACCTGCATGGTGTTACAATAAATACTAAAGAAATCTATTCAGGCTCAAGCGTAGGAGGCAAAAACTTAGATTTTTAGGGAGAAATGAAGACACAGGAAAGACTAAAAGAAGTGTCAAAATATGATTATTCCCTTCAATTAAAATAAACATAAGTACTTAAAGTAAAAATTGCAATGTTCTAATAGAGGGTTTATGATGAAGGTCGGTATAACCTGTATAGACTAAAGAATGGAACAAGTAAATAAACCTATACAGTTATGAGGTTTCAACTTTTGATATGAAGTGATAGAATAATAAGTCTAAGTACACTAAAATTCAAGGCCATATATTGTAGTCCTTGTTGCAACTATTTAAATAAAAATAATAAGCATAGCTAAAAAGCTGACACATGAAATATAAAGAAATTCTTAAAAACATTAATTCAAAAGGAAACTGAAAAGGAAATAAAAAGAAACAAAAAACAGATGGGACAAGCCAAATAAATAAGATGATAGTCTTTAATAATATTAATGAGTACATTAAATATTAATGAACTAAATATTTTAATTAAAAAGCAGAGCTTATAGGATGAATTTAAAAGCCACACAATTATATGCTATCTATAAAATATGTATTTTAAATACGCAGAGGGGCTAGAGTATGGCTCAAGTGGTAGAGCATCTGCCTAGCAAAAGTGAGGTGCTGAGTTCAAACCTCATGCTTCCAAATAAATAAATTTTTAAAAATAAATATGCAAACAGAGAGGATGAATATAGATGGCTAAATATGCATATGCTGGGCAAGCAGTAAGCCGAGCAAGGTTGAAATTAATATATAATACCATGTAAATGAAACTTCAGAAACTAAGACTATCACCCAAGAAAAGAATGGGTACTTCATGATAACCAAATGCTGAGTTCATAACAAGAAATCATATAGAATGTTTATAACAGAATTAAATTAGAATCTAACATCTATAAGACATGTAGGAAAAAACAGCCATATAGAAAGTAAATTATATGCTTTTAATTAATTCATGGATCAGATAAGAAATCACAAAAGAAATCAGAGAATATTTTAGACTGAATGATGTAGAAAAAAACAACATAAGAATGGTAGCTATAGCTAAAGCAATGTTTAGAGAGCCATTCATACCTTTAATGTTTATATTAGTGAGGAAGAAAGGGCACAGGATGTAGCTCAGTGGTAGAGTACTTACCTAGCATGCACAGGCGCTAGGTTCAATCTCCATCACCACAAATGGAAAACAAAGGAACATACATCAACATAATAAAATCTATATGCAAAAAACCTATAGGAATCATTGTTCTAAATGAGGAAAAACCTAAAACCAATTCCTTTAAGGTCAGGAACAAGACAAAGGTGTCCATGTCTTATTCAGTACAGTACTAGAATTCTTAGCCAGAGCAGAAAGACAAGAGAAAGAAATAAAAGTAATATAAGTAGAGAAGGAAGAAGTCAAATTATCCCCATTTACAGATGATATGATTCTATACTTAAAAGACCCTAAAAAGTATACCTAATAAAAAAAAGTTTAGCAAACTAGCAGGATACAAAATCAACATTCGAAAATCAAATCAGTAGCTTTCCTATATACCGATAATTAACAAGATGAGAAAGAAATCAGGAAAACAATTCTACTCACGACAGTCTTGAAAAATAAAATAACTATGAATAAACCTAACTAAGGAGATGGATGGCCTCTACAACAAAAACAAATTGGCCTTCCACTAGAAGATGGAAAGACCTCCCATGTTCATGGATTGGCAGAATGAATATTGTGAAAATGGCTATACTATCAAAAGCAATCTACAGACTCAATGCAATCCCCATCAGAATTCCAGTCATTTTTCATAGAAATAGAAAAAAAATCCTAAAATTCATTTGGAAACACAAAGGCCTCAAATAGCCAAAGCAAGTTTGAGCAAAAACAGCAACACTAGAGAAATCACATTATCTGACTTCAAACAAAGCCATAGCAATAAAAATAGCAAGGTATTGGCACAAAAGAGACCTGTAGACAAATGGAATAGAATAAAAGATCAAGAAATAAGCACACACAGTTGTAGCCATCTGATTTTCCCCAAAGGCACCAAAAACATATTGGCAAAAAGACAGCCTCTTCAACAAACGGTGCCGGGGAAACTGGATATCCAGACATAGAAGACTGAAACTAGATCTCTCTCTCTTACCCTATACAAAATTAACTCAAAGTGAGTCAAATGTAACACCTGAAACATAAGGCCTGAAAGAGTGAAATTGCTAGAATAAAACATAGGGAAGAAGCCTATAAAAATACATCATAGGTAATGCTTTTTGGAACAGGACACCAATTTTTCAGGAAATAAGAACAACTATTGACATGTGGATTACATCAAATGAAAAAGCTTTTACACAGCAGAGGAAAGACACTAGATTAAAAAGACAGCCTAGAGAGTGGGAGAAAATCTTAGGCAGTTACTCATTGGATAAAGGATTAATGACCTCCAAAAATTTAACACCAAAAGAACAAATAATAGTTTTTAAAAATGGGCCAATGAAAGGTAGTTCTCAAAAGAAGTATAGCCAAGTGCTGGTGGCTCACAACTATAATCCTGGCTACTCGGGAGGCAGAGATCAGGGAGCTGGAAAGAAGCTGAAGAAACAGTTCATGAGAGCCTATCTTGAAAAAAAACTCACCCAAAAATTTAACACCAAAAGAACAAATAATAGTTTTTAAAAATGGGCCAATGAAAGGTAGTTCTCAAAAGAAGTATAGCCAAGTGCTGGTGGCTCACAACTATAATCCTGGCTACTCGGGAGGCAGAGATCAGGGAGCTGGAAAGAAGCAGAAGAAACAGTTCATGAGAGCCTATCTTGAAAAAAAACTCACCTAAAGGGCTGGCTCAAGTGGTAGAGCTGGGCAGATGTGAGGCCAAGTTCAAACCCCAGTACTGGGACAAAAAAAAAAAAAGATAACAGAAGCACAAATGGTCAATAAATAGATGAAGAAATGCTCACATCCATAAAGGAGATGCAAGTCAAAATGATGCTGGATTCCATCTCACCCCAGTCATAAATGCTATCATCAAGGAAACAAGCAACACTGACAAGCATGCAAAGAGAGAGACCCTTGAACATTACTAATAGGAATGTAAATCCATTCTGTGGAAATCAGTATGGATGTTCCTCAGAAAACTAAAAGTAGAACTCCATATGATCATGCTATACCACACCTGACGCTTACATGAAGAAATGTAAGTCAGCACACAATAGACAGTGTATACTGGTACTATACACAAAAGTCAAACAATGGAATCAGCCTGGGTGTCCATCGACTGATGAATAAAGAAAACATTATACATATTACACATATACATATAAATATTATAAACACACAATGGAGTATTATTCATCCATAAAAAATGAAATTATGTCATTTGCAAGAAAATGGACGTAATGAGAGATGTTAAATGAAAAGCCACAACTGAAAAAAACAAATACCACATGTTCTGTCTCACATGCAGAATATGACAGGATGACAGGACTGTAAAATGGAGACAGTTTGGGGGTGGGAAGGAGTAAGAGGCAAGGGCAAAATGAAAGAGAGAGAGGGGAATGAAAATGATTGAAGTACTGATACACATGTTTGAAAATAGAATAATGAAACCTGTTAAAAGGAGGGAGGGGGATGAGTAACAGAGGCTGAAGTTGATCAACATATATTATATGCATGTATAGAAATATCACAATGAAATTCTTTTGTACAATTAATATATATACACCTACATACATACGTACATACATATATATAAGTATGTATATATATATATATACATATATATAAAAGAAGAAAGACTTAATTTAAAATTAATTATCTTAGGTTTCACCTTAAGAAGTTATCAAAAGCAAAATAAACCCAATTTATGGGAAGGAAAAGAAACATTAAAGAAAAGAGCAAGAATAAGTGAAATAGAAAATAGTAGAGAAATATCAACAAAAACAAAATCTGGCAGTTTGAGAGTATTAATAAAAATGATAAATTTCTAGCAGAACCAATCAAACAAA